TCCAAACATAGCCTTCCAATATATCGATATTTATGTCTCGACCATTCCGAGACTCCTCGTCGTGTCTGTGATCATATCAGGGACTCCGAACTACCTTTGGTACATCAAAACACATAAACTCATAAATATCGATCGTCACCGAACGTTAAGCGTGCGGACCCTACGAGTTCGATAACTATGTAGACATGACTGAGACTCAACTCTGGTCAATAACCAATAGTGGAACCTGGATGCTCATATTGGTTCCTACATATTCTACGAAGATCTTTATCGGTCAAACCGCATAACAACATATGTTGTTCCCTTTGTCATCGGTATGTTACTTGCCCGAGATTCAATCGTCGGTATCTTAATACCTAGTTCAATCTCGTTACCAGCAAGTCTCTTTACTCGTTCCGTAATGCAACATCCCGTAACTAACTCATTAGTCACATTGCTTGCAAGGCTTATAGTGATGTTCATTACCGAGAGGGCCCAGAGATACCTCTCCGATACACGGAGTGACTAATCCTAATTTTGATGTATGCCAACTCAACAAACACCATTGGAGAGACCTGTAGAACATCTTTATAGTCACCCAGTTATGTTGTGACGTTTGATAGCACACTAACTGTTCCTCCGGTATTCGGGAGTTGCATAATCTTATAGTCATAGGAACATGTATAAGTTATGGAGAAAGCAATAGCAGTAAATTAAACGATCATCGTGCTAAGCTAACGGATGGGTCAAGTCAATCACATCATTCTCTAATGATGTGATCCCGTTTATCAAATGACAATTCTTTGTCCATGGCTAGGAAACTTAACCATATTTGATTAACGAGCTAGTCAAGTAGAGGCATACTAGTGACACTCTGTTTGTCTATGCATTCACACATGTACTAAGTTTCCGGTTAATACAATTCTAGCATGAATAATAAACATTTATCATGATATAAGGAAATATAAATAACAACTTTATTATTGCCTCTAGGGCATATTCCTTCAACCACATCCTCCACTATGTTTCCATGGTTGTGCCTCATCGCCAGGTGTAGGGTGGTGTCCCTCGTTGAGAAATCAAGTATCAATTCATGGAGGTGATGTACTTTGCAATAGTGGTAATGTCTGTGACAAAAATAAAACTTCACTTGTGTCCCCAGCAGTGCTAACAAGTGTGGTTAAGGTCTCCATGTGTTTCTAAGTTAGCCCCGGGATCGAATCGCCAGTATAAGCGGTATAGATATATACCAGACACAAATGCATCATTTTATTACATTGCATGACCTAGAAATTAAATAGTCTTACATACGACTAGCCAAAAGCTAGCCCAATATATATGTTACAATCACAAACATAGTTCTTAATAGTAGAAACGAAAACAAATCCTAAGATATTAGTTCTTGGTAAGGCTCCATCAACACCACTAGGAAGTATGTCGAGTGGAGGCACGAGACCCTACGTATGACCACTCCTAATATAGTCACCTGCAACATGATACGTTGCAGCCACTAGGGTCAATACAATGAATGTATCGACAAGATTCTATAGTTATTATAACATCCCTATTTCACCTA